CATCCAACGGCGGAAATAAACGTTGGCGCTTCGGCCAACGAATTGCTAGTGGATGGTCGAGTCTTAAGAGGATGGAGCAAAGGAAAGAAGGGTCGCATGCGTTCTACAAATTGTCGCATGCGACAAAGACACAGCGGCCGAGCGGGCGACAGCGCCCAATTGTTTCCTCGTTTCATGATCTGCGCCTGTCCAGACTGAGTCGTAGTCATCGTTGTTCTTTTACCCCTCCCTCCTCGGGAACGGTGGACTACGTTAGTTCAATGCCTACTCCGTTAGGATGGATCCCCGTTCGTCTGTTGGGCGCAGATGACAAACGGTCATCGGCGGGGATCGCAAGCTGGAGCTTTCATAACTACTATCTCTGCTAATTTTCAACATGCGCTGGTGCTGCGACATCATCTTGTCAAGGTCCCCATTTCCCACACCCCAAAGGCTGGGCGTCCGTAGACAGCGGTAGATACCTAGTCAGTTATGTCTATGTCGCATTGGGGAAAGAAAACGAAAAATGACGAGAAGAAAGACTTGGAGACATAACCCTTGCGCAAAGGTAACCAAACGACAGGGCAGCTGGCGCAAAGATGCCGTTCGCGCAGCATTAATTGGACGAGTCCGTTTAAATGACCCGACGGAGGACAGACTCCATACATAAGTGGTATCGGCCTCTCAGATCACATTATCACCGTACGTATTGTATGTACATACATATACCTACGTCAGGTAGTCCACTACGGAGTAGAACTAAGTCACTGTTGTAAATTAAGATGGAAAAAAGAGAGGCGAAGGGAAGAATAGGATTCGACACGAAATCCTGGCAATCATTGGGAATCAAAAGCGGGGCCAATTTGCCAGCCCATCATTTGATTTAAATAGCACTATTGACCCAGACCGGTGGTGGTTGTCAGCGTATGGATGGCAGATGCACACCGAAAGTTTGGGTAATTCAATGACCACTTGGCACGGTTCCCACAGTTTTACCGACAGCGCATGAAGAATGAAAATGTTGAATTAGAAAAATGTGGGAAGCGAAGGTACATTGATATAAAACAGTTGATTGTCCTCAGCCGGAAGAACGCAAGGATGTGTGCGGACTCACCTGATTCCTTCTTAATTGTTCTGTCGCTCCGCCCAGTGGGCTATTGTGGATGTCTATTTTGAAGACAAGGCAAAGCTACGAATCCCGCGGCTTCATGATAGGTACCGCCGGATCCGCGTCCCACATTGGAGGCCAGCGGTGGCTTTTTTTTTCGGCGATACGGGTGCGAACGGAGAATCAGAGAACCTAGTCAGTTTGGTGACCAAAGCAAAGAAGAGAAGTCTCAATCTTTGAACTTCGTAACCACCAGAACTAACCATTCTTGATTGTCTCTATTCGATAAAAGACCGGTTCCTTCCGGTGGGGATTCATCACCCAGCTGCGAAGTTGCTCAGATCTTGCGATTCCAGACAAAGTGGAGTGACTATTAGAAAGCCACTTATGAGATGACTATCGATAGTCTAAAGAGAAAACTGACGAATATCGAAGCGCTGTAGGTAGACCAGTCGATTCCTCCCATTGACTACCAAAAGCGTCGAACGCCTTGCTAAAACGGTGGGCGATGGCGGGACTTATGGGTCACGTGCCCTCGCGTTTAATGGGATTCAAATTCGTGTTTCCCAGCGCGTTCAAAGTGCGGTGAAGCGATATCGCCCACGTCAAGCCATTTGAGGTATTTTCAGCTAGAAGGATAAATGGAATAGGATCGCATGGCTTTGTAGCATACGCAAATTATTTTTCAGACATTTAGCCATCGGGTTTGGAATCACTTTAGCTGTCGATGCAATTGTAAGTGTTGGTGGGAAGACGCGATCAGTGATGTCATGGGGTCTGTGAGACACAAACCATGCAAACACAAGGATGACATAAGCATACCACAGCAACCCTGGAAACGGAATAGTGTGGCTGTTGTTGACGGTAACCAAGTAAGGCAGTAACCGCTACCGGGCAGTGGATGATGGGGGTTCCCGTCGTTCCCTAGAGACGATGGTATTGTTTGTTCGTCGCTCTCATTCTTTTCGGCAACAACACGAGTTCCTTCTCCTCTCTCCTGCGACAAACTTAGATGCTGCGGTGGGCATCCTTCTTCGTTTCTTTTTTGATTTGAGGTGTGGCAGATTCAAGATCTCTTGACCAAATTTTTCCTGGTCCGTACTGTCGCAACTGCTTTAGCGCGGTTGGTTGTTTGTTTAGGGTGGTTTTAGTATAACTTAGCTGTTGTTCCTTCAACCCCTTCGCAGCGAATAGGTAAACAACCATCCGGGTGTCTCCCCAAAACATCAACATCCACAGTCTGGTGAAGGCTTCAAAGTCTTCTTGTGACCCAAAATGGATGCAAAGGTGTGTTTACCCCAATTTCTTTCTTCGCTTGTAGTCATCGTCCATCAAGCTTGTCGGGGAATCTCCCTCTGCGTCCATGTTTACAAACCTTGACGCGCTTGGTGTTTTCCTTCCTGTATCTACATTTTGGTGTCGCATACACCTCTGAGATCGTATACTGACACGCAATTGATTGTAGCCCCAGCGAATTCGCGTCCGTGGGGACGAGAATGCTGCCTTCCCTCTCACTAGCAAAACGGTTCATCAGAAAAACAAGTCGACTCCCGCCTTGTCCACTATGTTCCAGAGTGGCGTGACGAAGAATGGGCCAAGAAGAGCTGCATTTGGAGACGTCAGCAATACTATGAAAACTGTCCAGGGCATTCGTGATGACATCTCTGTTGCAGCCAAGAAACAGACCAAGCCATTGGAGAAGCCTTCCGTGCAGGTCACGGAGAGGAAATCCTCTGTCTTGGCCCAACCTGCCCAGCGCCCAATGTCAGCAGCGGGAGTCAAAGGCCTATTGAGCAATGCGACAACTTCCAAACCCCTGGAGCCCGTCGGAAAGTCAATCGGCGTGCCGCAGCATACCGCCAACGCCCGAAAGGCCCTGAACAAGCGAGGAACGGTCTTTAAAGATCACATGGAACCATTGACGGAAAAACGCGAACTTACATCCAAGGAAGCAACTCAAATTACGGAAGGGATTACTGGGGGCCAACTCGCGCATTCGTCTACGGCGCCTTCGCAGCTCAGCAGCCTGAAGGAAAAGGACGTTGTCAATGAGGGATCAAATTATGAGTCGGAGAACCATGATGAACATTCCATTGTCAGCTCTGATGTCGATGGAGAGGAGAAAGACGCGCCTAAGATCGACGAGGATGTTTGTAAGGTCCAGGGTATCAAGGAACTCAGGGAAGCCTCCGAACCCGGTACGGCAACGGATGCGGACGGCTCAGACCACGCTGTGAAGCCACCACGTGTATCTGTTCCTGGCGCACATATGCCTCACGAACATGTACCCGCCCACTCGGAGCCGGAAGAGTCCTGGGACGACGAGGATGACGAAAATGAAGACGATGATGAGTATATTACTGCTCGTTCCTATCGATCCCGTGGTGAAAACACGACCGGGGCGACTGCTACAATACTCTTTCCGAAATATACGCAGCAAGTGAGACGGGAACTGGCTCTGGCAAAGCAAATCGTCGAGGCAACACGGACAGTGGAGGATATTGAAGATGAATATTGGGATACGAGCATGGTCGCGGACTATAGTGAAGATATATTCGATTATATGCGGGAACAGGAGGTGTGTTATCATGGATCTTGAAAGATGCTCGAGGATAATCGCTAACTGCACCTAGATCAAAATGCTGCCAAACGCGCACTATATGGACAACCAAGCGGAAATCCAATGGTCTATGCGGTCTGTTCTCATGGACTGGCTTGTGCAGGTCCACCATCGGTTCTCTCTGCTTCCTGAGACCCTTTTCTTGTGTATCAACTATATTGACCGCTTCCTGTCCTGCAAGATAGTCTCCCTGGGCAAATTGCAGCTTGTTGGCGCTACTGCAATCTTCATTGCCGCCAAGTACGAAGAGATAAACTGTCCTTCCGTGCAAGAGATTGTTTATATGGTCGACGGAGGCTACACAGCCGATGAGATCCTCAAGGCGGAACGCTTCATGCTCACTATGCTGCAGTTCGAGCTTGGATGGCCTGGTCCTATGAGCTTTCTACGGAAGATCAGCAAAGCTGATGACTACGACCTGGAGACCCGGACACTGGCGAAGTATTTCTTGGAGATTACCATCATGGATGAACGCTTCGTCGGATGCCCACCAAGCTTTACAGCCGCTGGCGCTCATTGCCTTGCAAGGATGATGTTGAGAAAAGGGAATTGGGTAAGTTTACACACTAATGTTGGTCGTGTGTACCTCCGCTAACAGTGGGACAGACGCCTGCCCATGTCCATTACGCGGGATATACCTATTCACAGCTTTACCCGCTTATTTCTCTCATGGTGGAATGCTGCGAGATTCCGCGCAAGCACCATGCGGCCATTTATGAAAAATACACTGACAAACGGTTCAAGCGTGCTTCGCTTTTCGTCGAAGCTGAAATGAGAAAAGGGTTCCATCTTCCTGAGATCACTCGGGAAAAGAGTCTTTGCAATCCGCCATCTCTTGACGCCGGGCATCAATGGAAGCGCGTATAACTGCCACTCTGTCTTTTAGCAATTCCCGTCAAGGACGTCTAGGGGTCTGGCATTTCACAGCACGATTACTTGACATGCATGCTTGAGTATTGATTGATGAACATAAAAAACAGACATAAAAAAAAGGAAACAAAAAACAGCCAGACAAGAAAAACAAGGGAAAATGAGAGAAAAACGAAGCGCGAGTGAGGCGCGAGTGAGGCACAAGTGAGGCACAGGTGACTTGCTGCTTGCCAATGCACTCTTATCATGACACTTTCTTTTGTCGCACGACTGTGTATGCCATTTTATGATATGAGTCGTGAATATGCATTCCTCCATGCCATGCCTTTCATGCACATTTGGGTCTTTAGAACACGGAGATATGTTTCGACGGACAGGGAATCGGATATCAATGGGTGGAGTTTTGCTTCTTTTCTTTCCGGTATCGGGAGTTTAAATGGGTCGATGGTTTTTCTTATTCCCTTTCTTAATTAATCTGCACCCTTTTTCTTTCCTTTGTTACATGCCCCCTCCCGTCCCAGGGACTTTATGAAAATGCCCCCAGCATTAATGTCTCTTATTCCCTTTGTTCCTTTTTGGGCTTCCGCTCTTCTTTTCTCCATCCTCTTTTATTCTCTGTCATTGTCATCCAGGCTTAGTACACAGGAACTAGTCAATTGGATCTATCTCTTCGATTCTTTATTATTCAGAAATCCGATTACAATAACTTGGCGCAACGCGTTCCGCGTTGAAAATATCAACAACTCTAAGCACCTGCCGGCCCGATCTAGTCAATCTAGAGTGCCACTGATAAGATACTATGTATATCGATCATAATATAGGCGTACATATGAAATGGGGGCCGAGCAGAATTGGTAGTATTGGAACGGGGTAATTTAGCCAGGAATAGAAGCTATTCAATGAATTCCTATATCGCCTGCCTAGAAGAAGGCCTTCCACTAATCTATAAGCCTGGAACTAGGTTCCAACAAGATAAAGCTCGAATACATTTTAAGCAAGCTCAAACGTGATTTCAAAGTATAGTATCTTGATTCTAGACCAGCCCTCCCATTCGCCTGATTTGAATCTCTAAGACCTGCTTAAAAAGGTGTGAATTAAGCTCTTTCTAAATAGGACATTGAAAACTGGATATCGAGCACTTTAAGTAGTGTATTTAAGCAATATAGGATACCCTAAATCAGAATATTATAAATCGGCTAGTTCTATTCTAGCCGCACTTCACCCCCTTTCAACAATATGTATTGATGTTCAAGATCTCAGTATCACAAGGAGTGTGCCGTAAATAACGCTCGATTGACCAAAAAACTGTTCTCAAGACTACATTTTGCGTAAACCTACCCGTTGAGTACTGTCAGTTGCCCGTAAACATGAACTGCTAACCCATGAGTGACCTATGCAACTATCTCCGTTCTGAGCACCTGGGCACCTCAGCAGGCTGTTGGCCGTTATTACCAGATATAGATTAGCGTATCGATTTCCAACCGGCCCCGCATCGGTCTAGTCGCGCGCCTAATTTTTTTCTGCCAAGCCTACGGTCTTCATCGTCAAAAGTGAATATCTACATATTCACTTTTCGAGGGAAGGCTCCCGCACACCTTCTGTCTGAAACGCTCGCTCTCTTTTTTTCTCATAGCCTCGCATATCGAATTTTATTCCCAAGCACCCTGCCCTCACCGCGCTAATTAACGACCTATCGCTACGAAAATTTCAAGTCAATGACCTCTTGAACTATCGACCCCTCTATCTCCCCCCATTCCTCTCTCCACATAAAAGTACACACACAAGTTCTGGACACAAAGCCGGTCACCTAACATGCCCCCCAAAGCCGCTCCCCGCCGAGGCGCATCCACCGCCGCGGCAAACCGGCGAACGAATGCCTCAGAACCCAGCTCGAACTCTGCAACGCCTGCACCGGGCGACAATGCCAGCGCCGGACCTTCAGTCAGCAGACCTCCCGTTCAACGACTGCAATCTTTGAAGAAACGCACCCCGTCCGGTAGCATCGGGCCTGCCGCGAAAACGCCCGCTCCCGGCGGGCCTGGCGAGCCAGCCAAGCCTACGTTGAAGTACAAACCGCGTGCGGTCGGGCGTCGTAGTAAAGAGGAGCGAGAGGCGATTGAGAAACTCGAGGCAGAGCGGCACCGAGAGAGATTGGCGGAAGCGGCGGCCATACAGCGCGGACGGGGAAATCATGGACCTGGTGGTCGGGGCGGGTTTGGACGAGGTCGCGGAGGACAGTTTGGGGCAGCCAGTGGGCCTCTGGGATCTATGCAAGGCCGTCGGGGTCGGGGTGGTGGTCCGGGTGGGTTTGGATCGAGATTCAATGATTCCAGGGCGTCATCTATGTCGAGGCGGAGTCGGTCGGTTATTGATGTTGGAAGTGGGGCGGTTAGTCGGGATGTGTCGTCTGATGAGAGTGACAACGAGATTCGGGTGAGCATTGATCATATCAATCTGGACAGTGATGATGAGGAGACGGAGCGGGTGGTGGATAAGAAGAAGGGAAAGCTTGCGATGAAGAATGCGGATGCTTCTGGGGAGAGGGGTCTACGGCCCATTCGTGTGGAGAGACATGAGCATGAGGAACGGGTGGTTAGTGTCAACATGGAGTCTAGCTCGAGTAAATCTGCCGAGCTTCGCCAACAAGCGCAGGCTAAGGCTGCGGAGGATGATGCTCTATTTGTGCCGGATGATGATGGTTCGGCTGGTTCGGCTACGGAGACCGAGACTGGGCCCCGGGTGAAACAAGAGCCTACGGATGATGACCACGCTATGGCGGATGTCGCTCACCATGCGGATGAAGGACTGACCACCGATGATGGATTACTGCCGGAGCAAAAGGTGAAGGTCCGTCGGAAGATCTCTCGGGAGCCGCCCGCCGTCAAGGATCCCAAGAGTTTACTACGCACCAAGGAAGATATAGAAGAGTACGAGAGACATGAGCAAGACCTTGCGATGGTGAAGGATCTATTTACAAAGGAAGAAAAACCGCCCGCCGAAGAGCCGAAAGAGACACAGCCCGAACAAGTTGAGTCTTCGGCGGAGGATACTGAGACGGCGGCGGCGGACGGCGCGGAGAAGGATAAAGACAAGGAAAAGGAATCGGAAGAGGAAGAGGAAGAAGATGAATCTGCCAAGGACAAACTGTCCGGTCAACTATTCCTGATGCAATTCCCACCCATGACACCCAATCTTGTGCCAGAAAACGGCGGTGATAATTCTGCCACGGCACCTATAGAAGCTCCGGGTCAGGGTACCCCCCAGGGTACAGCTAGTAACAACGGTAATGTGCCACAGCAAACGGGAGTCAAACGCGAAGACGGGGTGGAGATTCTCGATGAAGCGGATGAATTCCAGCCCACGGAGCCTTCTAAAGTGGTCACCGCTACGGATTGGCAGCTTAAAGCTGGGCGCGTAGGCAAATTGAATGTCCATGCCTCCGGGAGAATGACGATGGACTGGGGTGGTATCAGCTTTGAACTGGATCGAGCCACCGCCGTTGATTTCCTCCAAGAAGCATTGATCGTATCGGGGGCAGCCGATCCAGCTGAAGGGGGAGTTCCGGAAGAGGAAAACAGAGTATGGGCTATGGGACAGCTTAGCGGCAAGTTCACTGTGACGCCTGATTGGGAGAAGATGCTATGAAACGGGAAGGGCAGCGGCAACATTAAACCCTAATAGACGTCGAGTCATGAAGCGTGGTTTCAGTATCCGCCCGCCATGCAGGAAGGCAGCCACCCGACACTCTACGACTGTGGCGTATTAGTTGATTGATCTCTGGATCTGCATCTGTATTCCAATGTATCTAGAAATAGCGGCCAACGAGATTCACGAGGCTGACGAATCAGGTGGCGGGACAAGACCTGACACACACGAATGCTGTACTCTCTACGTACCGTACATACCGATGTGAACCTCAGGACGAGTTGATGATGTGCATTGCGGCGATGAGGTGCACAATAAGCACCGCGGATTGACCTCGGGATATTCCTATAATTAGTACAGGGACGTGTGGACGACGAAGAAAGTGGGAGTTCATTGGTAGAGAGATGATCTGTATGTAAGTGTATGTAAGATGAATGTTATGTTATTCCGATATATCAAAACAAAGCGTAACATATTTTTTAACTGTTGGATTGAATGCACCACGTCATAGTGTGTCGTCCCCTTTTGCCTACTATTTTTTCCCCTTCTTTTTCTTTTTTTAATTTAATCATTTAAAAAAAAGTTTTTTTTCTTCATAATTATTGTTGGTTTCTTACCTTATCTCTGATTTTATGCAAGAATCCCGTTAGCTACGACCCTGGCCGGTACGACTTGCGATAAGGGTCCCGTGCTAAATTGGAGGAAAACAATCAAACAGGAAATTAAATCAACCTCGCGTGGAGCCTTCAGGCACCCTCACTGGCCACAGACGGGTCAGCCATGGTACTAACTGGGGAAAGTCCGATGGCGATTGTTACAAGGGTCGTCTTGGAGGCCCACCGCCATGGATTGGCTTCGAATCCCTGACAAGCTTCTGTGAGTGGCACGAGACATCGATCGACTCGCGCTAGTGCCAGCCCGTGCTGACGCGGCTGGTCACTGTCCAATCATATCTCCCCTAATAGACGCAGAGGCGGGTCTGAGGGTGGGGCCGTGCCTGTTAGTCGAACAGAGGAAGCCAAACACTAACAGGAAATAAACTAATTTCCAGGGCCAAACGGGGGTCGGTGGGCGTCTGGCCGGGTTTTCTTCTCCCTTCAACTTCTTCTCATTTCTCCATCTCTGCGCTGCTTGTTTTTCTTTTCCTTGTTTCCCCCTCGTCGTGTCGTCGTGGTTGCTGTTCTGTTTGCTGGGTGTTGCGTCCTTTCTCTGCATTCTGATTGTTACTATCGTTACCCTTCATCTCCTGAAACGTGTCTCGGGACTCCCCTGAAGGAGTCTCTCGCTTGACAGCCTCGTTTCCCCCTGACATCCCCTCGGTCCCCATTGCGACGCGACCCGACACCAGGCTTCCTCGAGGTTGGATCATTGCTGCCGATATACTTGCTCTAGTCACGAACTGTCGTTACCGTTCATTTCCCTTCTCCGTCCGATCAGTGGACCGTCCGAGACGATCTCTCGTAGAGTCCCGTATTGCCATCGCAAATCGCTCAGACCACATCCAACATGAAGACATCAAATATTCTTCTGTGCTTGGCGCCTGTAGTAGCACTTGCCGCTGAGGCTGACCAGGCACCTGCCGCTGTTGCGCCCAGCCCTTCGCTACCGAACATTACGCCTCCGGTCCCGTTGCCAAATATTCAAAATCCTCAAAGCGGAGAAGACGAGTCGAAGTTACAATTGGAAGCACGTCAAATGGTCCAAATCGCCAATGCTGGTGCAGCCAAGCCCCCGGCTGCCGCGACCACGGAAGAAATTCTCACAACAACCGTTATGGATCAATGGCCGGAACCCTCTAGTGGATCTATTGGGTTGGGAACACTGACCGCATCAGCGGGGGTAACGAAGTCGCTGCGCGCGCGGAGTGAAGGCACTCTTGGCCAAACACCATGGATAGGAATGGCTATCGGGCTGACATGCACAGCGCTTGCAGCTGTGATGCTGGGGTGATTGCCGCGCCATCACACCTCTGGGCTCGAGATTTTGAGCCCTTCTTTCCAAGTTCTCATAGTTGGCCTACCGGATGACCAACGACCATCGCATTTCATCCCCCATTGTGTGGGGTTTGCATAAGGAGTTTGTCTTTTCTTTTTAATCTTCTTCTACGACCTGGCAATCTTATGTGGTTGCTCATTGCTACGAGCGTATTTGCATTCATGCATCCGACAGCAGAGAGCCCTATAGTACTCTGTGGATAGTATCTGGGATCTGCTGTTCGTGTTTTATACCTTCTTCCCCTTGTGTGCTGCATTGTTCTTGGCTGCACTTGCATTCATACCCGACTGTTGTATAGACTGGGTTTGCTACGCTTTTTCTACGTGTACATGATACCTTTTTCTTTGGAATTTTTTGCTCCGGCCTTGGTATACTCGAATTTAGTCGACGATGTATCTACTATGCATGATGATTCAATCAATCAATATATATATATTATCATTATTATTATTATTACTATTGATGGATGTCTTATTGCTTCTCTTTTTCTTTATTACTCGTTCATGATGTTTTATTTTAGTGCTCACGAAAGAACTTCGGATGGCCAATAGAATCAAAGGTCCGACGTCTCACGTCTTTGTTGTTTGGGCGCCAGCAAACAACATGCGGGCAACACGAAGCCTCCCCGGGCAAACAAAGATCGACCCTGTAGTCGCATGCGACTTGGCAGGCTGACAACATGAACTTAAATGTCACCGACCCTCTCCCTGGTCTGCCATTCGATTCATTCATGGATTCCTTGGGGTATGTATTGGAATCTCGTTGGCTTCATCTTCTTGGTATAGTTACTCTCATCTAGCGCCAGACGTCTCTAAGCTCAAGAAAGTGACAAGAGCCGCGGGAGGCGAAGAAAGATGCACAATGATAACGAGAGACCGAAGAACATCCCACCCTTCACGCCAATGTCCTCGCTCGGCCACGAGTTGGGTGTTATGTTCGCCTTTCTTGCGGCCTGTTTCGTGATTATGGGTGTATATGTCCTCTTTTGGCGAGGTAAACTTCTCACATTCGATCTAATACATATTACATGGATTAATGACCTGTCCGACAGCGTTCGAACGCCGGGAGGCACAAAGAGAAAAGGCCCGCAAAGAGCGGTTTACGAGGAGAGGCGTCCACCATGGGCGCAGCGGCATCCCCGAGAAATTGCATGATAATCAGAGAGTCGAGTTACCGGCGAACAGCAGATATGAACTCCCAAATGGGTATGAGAATGGGGAGAGATCGACTAACATGAAGATGGGTTCAGCTGGTGCTCGGGTGAATCGAGCGGATGGCTGGATGGAGATGGATATTCTGGGTGCGCCGCGGAGGTGACACTTCCGTTTTGGATTAATCCACACTCTTGTGATATGTTCTTTGCTTGGCCATCTGTTCTTTTGCGTATCTCCCAGGGGGCGTTGGGCTTTTTAGGGGTTGCTGGCCTACGTTAATATACCGGTCTCCTGAGATAGCCGGATATGTGTTTGTCGCTGACCGCTAGTTTTTGATAATAATGCGAGTCAAAGGCAAGCCTTGTTGCCTTTGAGCTATTTGTCATTTCTGTGTCTATTCTATATTCAGGCTGTTGGGATACTCCAGCCTTCCACACCTGGAGCCCAGCGATGTTTACTAAGGGTTGGGTGGCTGGGATGGGTGAATCTCTCCGTATTTACTAAATGGATCGTAATGCATATGAGCCACTTTAGACATGTTGATCTGCCGTTGATTGGGTGGGTTCAGGAAAGGGAGTTCCCAATAAAAAAGCCGTTCACTATATATATCACTCGCGGTGTTTATGACATATCATGGATTGTTTTCGTTTATATGGAGGGTAACACAGCCTACGGCTAAATCAAGCATAAATTTCTTGCCATTACTGACGACGAAATTGGACACGGGTTACAACAATCAAACAAACTGATATTCTCCAAGTCCCTATTAGGGTTATGATTACCCATGTTCGGTATTCTCAAGGGAACCTCCGAATCCGCAGGAAGAAAGAGGCAGACAATCTGCACCTGACTGCATTTGTCCTGTCATATATGACAGGCACGTGCCTTGCAGCTGCATAGCGCAACAAGCGGTAAGAAGATTGGGGAAGAAAGAATCACATCACCCAAGAGACGGAGATGCTCAAGTGGGTGCTTCTACTCAGGTCAAACCCGAATTAGACTAATACCGGGTTGGTTCTCTCCACCGCCTCGAGACTAAATCGTGAGCTTGAGAACCGAATTTGGCGGTGACTTGACAGCAGCCAGCAACTTCAATCGTCATGGGAGGACTAAGTTGGGGAGAGGAGAGTATAGTGAAAGGTGTAGAGATTATACCATGAGTATAGTAGCACTGTTATTTGTTAGTTCTGGTTTCTTACTACTACTTTTTTATTTTTATTTTTATTTTTTTTTTATTGCATGAAAGAGTCCCTCCAGGAGTGCCAGGGCGGGGCACGCAAATCACTTGTGTTTTTTTTCCCGTTTGGTTGCCAACACAGTCAAACACACCCCACCTGCTGGTCTCTCTTCGGCGCGGCTCTACCTTAACTAATAATCAACTTCAACGCATTCTTTCCCCTCTTTCTTCATCCCACACAACGAATAACCACTTCTAAATTCTTCATCTACTCTGACAACCTTTCGCGGTTCACCTTCCTACTCACTTCACCCACTTCCCTTTTCCGACCGTTCTCCGTCATTTCTCCCGTTCATCAGTCACTATGGGTGCGCACTCTGCTGTTTGGCAAGGTATGATTGAAGTGACCCGTCCCTTTCCGCTGACTAGTACTTGCTCGAAGCTTTCCCGAGCCAGCATTTTCATGGAATGATGTAGCTAATAGTTCTGTCTCTCTGTTCTCAGGATATGTCGATTCCAGGTACCGTACACCCCCTAAGACTTTCCCCTATTACCCCACTTCCGCTATCCGAAGCTCTCCCCGACAGCTTCCACCGCTCAACTAGCCGGTCATGAAATCTGACCACAACCATGCAGCTTGATGGGATCCGGCCAATTTGACAAGGCAGCCATTCTGAGCCACGACCTTTCTGGCACCGAGGCTTACTCTCCCGGCTTCACGGTATGCGACTACCGAATTCCATGACACTGGATCCGCCGACTCCGTGTCCCGCTGGATTTCAATATTCAACCACTGACGACGGCCACAGATCAGCGCCGAAGAGCTCCAGGGCCTAGTTGCCGCCTACAAGGATAGTGGGGCGACGATGACAAATGGTTTCAAGGTCGGCGGAGAGAAGTTCCTCGCTATTAGGGCCGACGACCGCAGTCTATACGGAAAGAAGGTACAATGCCCACTTGCACACTAGAGACTTGACCGGAGTCTCCATATCGAAAGCATGCTAATTTCCGATTAGGGCAAGGAGGGTATTATCGTTGTGAAGGCCAAGTCCTGCGTCATGATCGCCCACCACCCTGAGTCTATCCAGACCACCAACGCCGCAACCGTTGTCGAGAACCTCGTTGACTACATCAACAAGTACTAGACGGCGGTGTGGGAACGAAATGAATGTGTCTTCTTAACTTGTGAAAAAGGACTGTGTCTGCTTTGAATCGATTTACTGGCGGGTCCTCTTCATTTCTACTATAACTCTACCCCTTTTATTCCTTTTATATTCGCCGTTCGATATTGAGCATCGCTCGTAGATATGTCACATGTGCCATAGGTTCTGATCTAGTACGCAAGAAAAGGTTTTCAATTTCCTGTCGTCTCATGGTTAGTTGTTGATAAGCAACAGTATAGCGGTTTGTGAGATATTGTCTGCAGAACAGGGTTTCTCGTTATCATGTTCTGTACTAGTATGATGAACATGGGTGCCTATTCGCCCAAGATACACTCTTGCATAATGTACACGCCTGAGCTAGATCTGGAGAGCAGTGAACTCTGGCGAACCAGAGAAGAGGAAGACGTAGTATATCAGGATTACCGCGACTCGATCTAGATATTGTGTAGTAATGATTCAATTGGAACTGCTTACGGGCAGTATGACACAGACTTATCTCGAGAATAGACTTGATTCTTGCTGCTACAGGACACAAAAGTCACATGTTGAGATTTATACATCGTTGACATAGTCTTAAAAAAAAGAAAGAAAAAAAAAAAAAACGGATAAGTGGAATGGGCTCGTTGATTGTTATAGTGAGATAGCTAGAAATTACTTACTTCTTTTGTATGAGATTGGTATGCTTTTCTCTATTGGGTAGGGGAGAAAGTACTCAGTTTGCTGGGGTTATATTATGATGTAAATTGCAATGCTAGGATTGTAATTATTATTTTTCTATTCAGACATGTTTGATCATGAATAAGATGGTACATGCTGTTACGCTGCCCACCTACTCTGTAGTGAATCAACAACCATCAGCAGCGATAACAAGTTTGGTAGTTGCTGGCCCATCGTTCTTTCCTTGCACCCCGAGCCAACAGAACAAACCATTTCATCACAGACTCAAAATTGAAAATGCGCGGTCTCAGAACTGAGCCTTGCCTCCCTTGCATTCCCGGTTTGGTCAATGCCCAGGATAACATTGCTTTCGGCCCTGCGTTCAAGGCTCTCTCTCTCAGTCCAACCAAGTTATGGATCCGCGAAGCGACTGCTACGGCTGGTGTTGCCTGAAGTACCCAGCCTTTGGGAAGATCGCCTTGCACTCTGGCCAGGGATGGGGACCAGTGTGGTAATTGATCAGATCCATTCACAATAATCGAGACTGGATAGGCTATGCAGAACGACCAGCATGCTTCCTTAATGATCAGTAAGCGGACATGATAGGCGTAGCATAGATGCTCCCGTCCGCTCCAAATGTAAATCCAGCACGAGAGATCTCTACCATGCTATGGTGTAACATAATCCAGGATCTCGCTGTCACTTTTTTTGGACCCTGCAGCGTAAGTGCTCAGACTAAAGAACAAGTTGCTGTACTGCAGCTCGAGCCATACATACTAGTAATCCATTCCTCTACAGAAACTGCGGCGCTAGCTCCACCCCCATGAGAAGAAAAATAGATATATAAAAATAACCAATCCCCTTCTTATACAGGTAATTCAGCATTACTCCTTCCCCCTGCCAAAACTTCCAACCCCTTCTGCAAATACGGCCCCACAACCGGAATATTGCCTGCAAACTGCCCAATTGTGATCAGAAAATCACCAAACAGGATAAACAGCCCGTATAGTTCGATTAGGAAGCCCGTGAGCGGCCAGCGGAGGAGGATGAGTAGGATGCCAGCGGCAAACGCGGCCGTGCCTTTCAGTTTCTGGCGTCGACTGAAGAAGGCTAGGGTTTTTTGGACGCCGATTATGAGCGTTAGGCCAATTAGGAAGAGGATCTTTTTATTTTGTTTTTGTTAGCTTCTTTCTTTCTTTCTTTTTTCGGAAATTGAATTTGGGGTGGGATTCGTGGATTGGGTTGGGTCATTCGGGGAGACATACGTTTCCCATTGCGAGGCTATTTGTGATGTATTGTTAGCTTTTTATGGATTCTTTTTGGGGATATTGATGGGGTAGAGTGGCATACAGCGAGCGATCAAAGAAGAGAAGGACGCCACCGAAGAGGAAGAGAGCTCCTATATTATTGGACTTCTGTCAAATGGTGCACCCTTTTCTTTGTTGTTGACGGAGTCTATAGAATCGCGCGTCATTGCTAATGAGTATATGATGCTTGTTACATACCTCCTGAGCAGAAGATCACCCCGATTTCTGTATATCATGTTAGATTGTGGACGGTGTTTTTGTGCGCGTGACCTGTGCTTGCTTACTTTGGTTATCCGAGAGCCACATTGTGGGCATTTTGGACTGTTGATTCGGCGTATGAGGGTTATGGTTAAGCGTAAAAGCGTGCGATTTACTAGATAGCGTAGGGAAAGGTATTCATGCGCTTATGGGGACGCAATTGTTTGGTGATGTTGTGTGCAAGGTACGGAGTAGAGGTCAGGTTCCGGATGGGTCGAAAAGTTAAGTGCGCGATAAGATATTGTATTGGTCCGTTTGGAGTGGGTTTTGGGTCGCGGGCTGGACCACGCGGATATTTCTTTTGGGAGGATTTGTAGAATTAAAACCGGGTTCAGTCGTATTAAAGGGTCATTATTCGTTAATAGAGGTGAGAAAGTAACTATGGATATGTATTGTTTTTTAGATTGAGAATGGCGATTTAATTGAATTGCTTTTCCTTTTCTGCCACGTCTCCCCTTTTGTCTTAGGCCGGGGCTAGGCGGTTTGGGGAGGCGGTGTACGTGCTAGCTCAGAGTGCGTTTTAACCGCACATTTTTTGTCTTGATTGTGTTACCTTCTTGATTGTTGTTGATATTTGGAGATGTGATGGCCATTGGATAGCCTATGTTTGTTCGATATGCCCAATGCTTTAATTATCTGTTGAGCCATTATAATGGTACTGCTTGAAACAGTATTGTTGGCTTTTACGCTGTGCAGTTCTGGTACTGTCCAGATGTCATTTAATGAATGATGGCAACAACAGATTTGAATCGGACTGGAACTGGTCTATATTTGTATAATCACATCTAGATCCCCTGGATCTCTTCGATATTACCTTGCCAGCCTTCTGGCTCCCTCATACGCCGCGGCGACAGCATCCCCGGATGCTGTAACTGATGCTCTTGCTCGTGGAGCGTCGGTATTAGTCGAGTGCAACTAGCACAAGGCGAAGAATGACTCTAATATAAAGGTCACGATTAAGCCGGAGCGCTTTCTTTGAACCTGTCTCGAGAGGGGCACGGTGGGTGGAAAGGGCTTGACTGTGATGGCCGGACATTCTACATAGTAGACCAATTCATAGCATAGTATCTGCAATGCATTAGCCTTCTTCATACCCAAACTCAATAATTCAGCCATCGTAGCTCACCTCGCTTGCGAGACAAGTTCACTTAAAACATCACTTCCTATACGCAAACCTAACACCCATTACTTGAGCACCACATGCGCCGCCCTCAACTCAAGGTAACTTTCAGGCACACCCTGCGCCAGAGACCGGACCACCCCAAAGACCTCCTTATCATGATACCTCAGCCGGGTCTTGGGATCCGTATACGGAGCCGGCAACCCCGTGATATCGCAATACCTCGTTTGCTGCGACGGGTGCAGCGACGGCGCCGACTCGATATTCGTATAGGTCACCGCCGGCCCTGACGAGTACATTGCCCGCGCATTCTTCTCCAGGACAAGCGTGGAGAGGTTCTGTGCTGCTTGCGCGATGTTCGTGCGCTGGCCCCCGTCTGCGGGCGTCTGGCTGCCGTCTGTGCTGGTAGAGGTGGTAGCTACCAGAGGCGTCGTTGCGCCGGAGTTTGCTTGCGTGGCCATCTGGGAGGCTTCTTTGCGGGTACTCTCGGAGATTAGTTGCTTGACGTTCTTGTTGCGCCGCTGGGAGGGCTTCCAATGAGGGTTGCGGAAGGGGCGCGGGACCTGTGCGATGTCGAGTTGGTTGAGGAGTTGTTGGTGACTTTCGTTTTCAGCGGGAGTGAGAGGTGCCATTGTGGTTGAATTTTCTGTTCTTTCTTAGTTGGTTGATTTTGGTGGCAGGAGGTTAGATGTCGAGTTGCTGGTCGGTGCGGAAAGGTGAGATCGTGAAGCTTGGGAGATGGTCCGGCGTGGAAGGTCTTGACAAGGAGTGGTCTATATTGGCGAATCAGGACACAACAACTTCTATAACAGAGAAGCTGGATGTGCTGTCAGGATAATATGGCGACACAGTACAGTTATATTATATTATAATATTATTTGAGTATGAAAAATAAAAGACTGATATAAAGCTTCAGATTTGGCTCAATTTACTCTTAGAACTCTAAGCCACGTGATGCACCGCATTGGGCAGTATTGATGGGCGAGCACAAACAATCACCAGACCAGCACTCTATTCATAACACTACCTATTGAATACCAGGAATAATGGTGGGTTTATCGATAATAGACTTATAGAGATAGGTACAGTACTGATGCGAACTCTGTAGGAGAGCCCACACGAGCACCAGCAAGCGGTGATTCTCTCACGAATCATCAACAATGTTGTATGTTACTTGTGGCCATCGTAAATATACTAGTATCGATACTGATAGCTGGACAGGAAAAGCTAAATGAGGCCGTCATGGTCATGAACAAGAGCCTCCAGGTATGTCAATCTCATTTATGGCCCTGATGTTTTGCTAAGAAATACATTGCAGGAAGTCAATATTCAGAACATGAATGTGGAGCTTGTGGCGCAAATGTTCAAGAACTACCAGTCTAATGTGCTGTTTCATTTGGAAGGTACTTGTTCCTTTTCGCTATCTTATGAACTTGGACTGATCGGATTAGCTACCGAGAATTTGAAAGAGCCGTCGCAAGGCGAGTGATTGTTCAATGCGTTCTTAGTACACATGATGGGATATGAGATCAATCATGATAAAGACATGAGATACCACAAGGAGTAAATGTTGGGAAGGAAGGCTACTGGGATTGATTTTAGTGTAAGCTTTATTTAAGACAATACATTCAAAGAAGGTTTTTTTTTTTTTTTTTCTTCTTCTTCTCTTTATACAATTTGGATGGACGGAGTAGACCTGCAGAAACATAGAGAGAATGATGTCTTGGCACCATACAAAGACCGACAGTGGCTCTTCCGTCCACTGCGCCGCCGCCGTTCAAACCGGGGATTTTAAACTTCACATTCTTCCATCCTGGGGCAGTGTCGCCAATAGTCTCTAAATCGACTTTGACACCCCAATCAAGTGCAGACCACCTCGCTTTCGAAGCTTCTCCATTAATCTGCCCGCGACGCCCTGCAATGCGGTGAACCGTATCCCCGGAAGCTCTAACGTTGCTCCTGGTTGATCCCACTTCCACATCGCCATGACCATCACGTCAGTACAAGCGGTTCTTCCTGGCCGCTTCGCAATCAACTCGACTGAGAAGAGTGCCGCGAAACCACCTCCGAAGGTCTATAATGCTCAAGAGCCTCCTTTCAAAGGCTACCATGCCCCACAACCAGATGGCTATCAACGGAGCAGGTCAAAGCCCGACACAAGCGCTATCGTAATTGACAATGGTGCGTTGACCTGTACTTCTAGTCCCCGACCTATTTATGCATGCTGATATCTTTGTTCCCTTGACAGGCTCAAATTTGGTCAAAGCCGGATGGTCATTCGACAAGAACCCCCGTTTTATCCTTCCCCCGGTGATGAGTCGGTACCGCGACCGGAAGCTCAATAAAGCGTGTCAGTTTATCGGATATGATGCCTACGTCGATGCCACTACGCGCGGCCAGCTGCGCTATGCGTTTGACCCTGGTAGCAGCGTTGTCGGTAACTGGGATGTGATGGAAGGGGTACTAGATTATCTATTCCTTAAATTGGGAGTTGATGGCGCCAATGGTGGCATCGACAGACCTATAGTCATGACAGAACCGATTGCGAACCTCAATTACCCCAGAAAGAGTGAGTCGGGTCCCTCCATTTATCCCGCCATGATGTCGTCCCCGCTGACACCTTTCTAGTGATGAACGAAATCTTATTCGAGTGCTACTCTGCGCCTTCAGTCGCTTATGGAATCGACTCCCTATTTTCTTACCGGTACAATCGTGGAACCGACGGCTTGATTATCTCTTCGTCCCATACATCAACGCACGTCATCCCTGTCCTAAATAATAAGGCTCTACTTTCGAACTGTTCGCGGCTCAACTGGGGTGGAATGCATGCGTCGGAATACCTACTGAAGCTGATGAGACTGAAATACCCGACCTTCCCTGCCAGAATGACCGAAAGCCAGATGGAAGACCTGGTTCATAAGCATTGCTACGTGTCGAAGGACTACGATCAGGAACTGGGTAAATATTTGGATTGGACGGGCCTTGAAGATAGGGATCTTGTTGTTCAATATCCATTTACGGAACATGTTGTGCCAGAGAAATCAGAGGAAGAACTGGCCCGGATCGCAGAGCGCAAGAAAGAGAGCGGACGTCGACTGCAGGAACAAGCAGCCAAGATGCGGCTGGAAAAGCTCATGAAGAAAGAGCAGGAGCTCGATTACTATAAGGATCTCCAAAACGGTCTACAGTCGGAGACTAAGAAGGAGGCGAGGCGCATCTTGGAGGCTGAGGATCTGAAAGACGAAGCACACCTCGAACGGATTATCCGGGATTTAGAACGCTCTATCAAGCGATCCAGGAATAGGGACCTCGGAGTGGAAGAGAGCGAAGAGCCCACAGAGGAAATGTCGTTTCCCTTGCTGGATGTACCGGACGAGGAACTGGACGAGGCTGGTTTGAAGGAGAAGCGCCATCAGCGACTTATGAAATCCAATGTCGAGGCCCGGCAGCGCGCGAAGGCAGAGAAGGAACGGGAGAAGGCTCGGCGGGAAGAGGAGGAACGCCTTGACCGGGAAAAGCGCGAGAACGACTTTGAGGGCTGGCTCTCTGAACGCAGGGCTAACCGACAGGTGAGGACGCACGACGGAGAATTCTACAATACTGTTGCTAACTATTCAATAGAACATCTTGCAAAGGATCAAAGAACGTGACAGGTTAAAGGCAGACCTTGGTAACCGCAAATCGTTGGCGAGTCAGATGCGCATGAAGACCCTTGCCAACCTCGCTGCGGATGGCCCCAAGAAGCGAAGACGCGGCGGCGATGACGACGACTTCGGTGCTAACGACGAAGACTGGGGTGTCTACCGTACCGTGGCCACCGGGGAGCAGAGTGACGAAGAAGAGGAAGAGGACCTCGGCGGAATGCTCGATGTTGTCGAAAAGGAGCTTCTCGAACACGATCCTGAATTCACGGAGAACCACACCCTTGCTGCACAGTCCGACTGGACCAAGAGCCTTGTCCATGTATTCCTGCGGGGACCTTGGCCATTCGACCCGGAAAGTCAGCGGGAGGCTCATCAGTTGCACCTGAATGTCGAGCGGATCCGAGTGCCCGAGGTTGTGTTCAAGCCGTCCATCGCAGGTATTGACCAGGCCGGCTTGGTCGAGATCGCCGCGGACATTGTCAACCAACGATTCATGAACCCGGAGGATCAGTCTCGGTTATTGCGCGATGTATTCATGACCGGTGGCAATACGCTCTTCCAAAACTTCGACGAGCGCTTCCGCAACGAATTCCGGGCCTTCCTGCCCCTTGACGCCGAGCTCAACGTGCGTCGTGCCAAAGATCCCGTTCTCGATGCCTGGAAAGGAGCTGCGCAGTGGGCTTCTGGTGCCGACCTAGCCAAATCATCTATCACGCGACAGGAGTACCTCGAGAAGGGCAGCGAATACCTCAAGGTACGTTCTACACCGATCTACTAATACTACCTCGAGTGCATCACATTGGCTAACTAAGTTCCAGGAACATGATCTGGGGAACGTCACCACGTGGTAAGCACGTCAACAAGATAGGAGATATGATAACCTAGTCTTACAATCACGTTGTCATGCTTTACCGTAAACGTGCCTCCACGAGTGATGTATGTCAGAGAACTGACCTAGTTGATTGGCGTTCGGTGCAAGAACAGCACCATCATCTGACAGCAAGTGCGTTGCACCATTGGCCAAGGAGCTCGTATAGCGGCCCTTGGAATCCATGGTGCAAGGCACAAAAGAAGGAAATTGGTTCCGTGAAGAAAATCCAGGAGTCTGGCGCAAGGAAAACAAATAACATGTACAGATATGAAATTAATCGGAAGCGGTTGTCTTGTGATAATTCAATTCATTTCAATGCCACTTCTATTCACCTTCGTTTCATTTCCACATAAGCAGAACTGCTGTTCCATGGGTGCTGTCCATACCGCTATCCATCCCATTCATTCAAGGTCTGGTATACTGAAAATGTACAAGAGGTCCCTTTACATACGGATAATCCCCGGATGAAATTACCTTCATATCCCTACGAACCGAACCCCACAAGGGATATGGGAATTTGGGGTTATAATAGACATGTCATATCCCTCTTGTTTAAGAGAGACATCATCCCTCCGTCTATCATGGTCCCCTTACGTCTACTCCCTTGATATAGTAATGAAACAAAGAGTAAGGACTACATGGTAGGTCAAACAGTTGGTAGATTTAATCTTGGATTGAATTTAGTCGATGTATTTTGTCTTGATTTGTTTTGATGAACTTTCGTTTATCGGGTAATTTAGTCGGGGGAATATGTTTTGCGATGTAAGGAGGACGAGGTTATTTTGTGGTGGTGGTTATACAGTACGGAGTATAATTTGAGGGGAAAATAAAAATGAAATGAAGATAGGAAAAAGGAAAAAAGGGGGGGGAAAGGGGAAAAAAAGAAGAAAAAGAAATGGAAAAAAAGACAGAAAAGAAGATAAGGGATCAACACTGAACTGACTGAACGTACATGGTACAGCCTCAGGCAGCGATGCTTCACATCACCTAGTAGTACGATTGGACCAGCACAAAGATTAATATTAGTGATACTTAAACAATGGAAGAAAAAAGAAAAGTGAATGGCCACATGAAAGAAAGACGTCATAGAAGGCAATCCGACAACTCAACAATCCCATACATGCATCAAGAGAAAAGTCTAGAGCAGCGACCGGGACAATAAGAGCGGGATTCTTAGTCACGATGATAATTAGTTAACTAGTGCAGTGGATTTGATAAACAAGTGGATTAACCCGGCACGAAAAAGAATACCCTTCAGCCTTGTGGGTCTGAGCCCGAATGGCAGAGGTCTTCTGCTTTTTCTCTATCGCCTCGGAGAAAGTTGCTCGAGCAAGGATGTGGGGGGGGGTGCCGACCGTTCCGACTTGGGCTGTACACATGATTTGCTTTCGAAGGGATAGAGGAGAGTATACTTCGTAGTAAGTAGTACTACTTTGTTATGACTAAAAACTGAGCATGGGTAGACTTTGCTAGTGACATTGGCGCATCGACCAGTGCCGATCTTCAGGAGCCGTTTAGCGCTCGAAGCTTCAATAGCTTCCTGTCTGGTAAACCGGTTGTTGGGTGGGTTTCCCATGACGCATTGGGCGTGTGGCGTGGTTACGGTCTTAGAATCCGATTTGATTGCGACCTTTTTGTTCGATAGCACGGAGGGATTAAGACATCGGGATCTGGACGGCCAGTGGCTAGACCAGACCACGACCAGGGCCAAGTCAGATGTCCTGGTTTTTGGTTTACCTTGGCAAGACGACGATCCTTGTGAAGTACTCCGGCAATCCCTTGGAACTGCGAAGATTTTCTTGGTTGGGCCGTGAAGTTCGTAGAAAATTCGGCTATGGGGGTGACCTGATCATGTACTAAGTACATATTGGTCAGTTAGGGCTGAGGGTGGGTAGTTACTAGCTAGACCACCTCATGAGGTGGAAGCCGAAGGGAAAAGGAAAGATTCCATCCCATTCTTGAGGATGGAGTACAGTGCCGTACACAATTCCACTCTATAATCCACCGCTATTATCATATGTTGCGCGGGGTGCATTGGTTGTGTAATGCATGACTCTTCTTTCTGATTATCGTAGTCCTTCCATATCGGGGCCACCAAATAGACATTTCTGCATGAGGATCATCAGAACCCGTGCGCTTGTACATACATAGAACATAGTAGTCGCACCGTGCACATCTCGGAGTAAATATCCAGAGCGTTCGCAGATCGGCCATAATTCGGACTCAACCTTTGGACCTGAAATTTGAGGTTTAGTCATAGCAAACAAAAGTCAAGTTAGTTGGTTATTTGATGGAATGGAAGAGAAAAGAAACCGAACAGCCGAAATCGACACATCGAGACCGAGGATCACGGGAGGGTCAGCTGCCTTGACTTGCTCTTTATGCTAAACCCGGACGGGATTAGTGGGTAACCTGACAAGATGAAAGTCTACAACAACCTCAAGCTTTGAGCCCTTTTGGATTTCTCGCTTAAGTCTAATCCATTTGACTTTCCTTGTCTGATCTGACTTTTTACCTCATGTATTATCTAATATGGACGTGTTCATTTGACTCAACATGTGCATTCCGCGGGATGCCGACTGGCTCAGTCCACCCGCAAACGAGACCATTCCCTTTGAAGTTATACTATGAAAAATGGAACTGCCAAAAAGTCATGCAACGATTCCCCCCTCCCGAGCCATGGACTGATGCGCGGCACCCCCCTTGCTCTGGTTTTCTGCGTTCTGCAGATCCTTGTCCACTGGGGCCCATGTATCCGACTCCCTAATCTCCACCCCCTCCGGCGATGCTGATGATCCTCCCTACGTACACAGTATGTGATACCAGGATGCAGATGGGCGGCGTCGAGAGATACCGCCCAGACAAGGATCAACTGCGAGTCCTACGTTGTTGTTGGCCAAAGCTGTCAGTATCGCTGAATCAACAAGGTCTCTGATTGGCGAACATGATCTGTGGATCAACCGTGGTCTGGTTCTTTAGTCCATTCCGTGATAACCACTCGCCAAAAGTTTACTTCATGCAGAGGAAATTATGACGCATCTGGGGAAAACAACAGCTGCCAGGTAGCACATCCATACTAGGTAATTCTATTTTGCTTTTTCTTTTAGTCCCCTCTTTGGGTGTGTACCCTCACTTTCGGCAGGGAGAAAAGAAAATTAATGGAGCTTCCCACCGTGGATCCTCGATAGCGGCGGCCGCCACGATTCGAGAACTCTGACGCAAAAGTATGCAGCCCGTCGGTTGGCTCGGGTGTGATATTATGTGATTGATGCCCAGTACACAGTAGCCTTGTAGATATAAAGCCTGGTCCTGATCGCTCTCTACCTTTGGTTTCTATCCATCAATCACATCAGCCTGCCACACTACGGGAGTTCGACTTCTATATACTTCAGTTCATCCACCACTCCGACTGTACTATTTATCAGTACATACGTACATACATCTACATACAAATCAAGACAACAATATGCTCTCGAGTACGCTCACACGTCCGCTGCAGCTCGCCACCCGAGTGCTGCAGTGGTCTAGCGCTGTCATTGTGATGGGTATCACTTCCTACTTCATCCACAAGGGTCCCCGTGGGTTATCGATCACGTACCAAGAAATCATTGTATGTCTCCCGTTTCCACATCTATGGCCTTTAACTAATGCCGCGATCCACAGTCTACCATGTCGGTCGTGTTTTTCCTGCCAGCCTTTGTCTCTCCGTTCATGCCCACAGCTCTTGGCAAGTTTGTTCTGCTCATCGATGTCGTCTTCTCGTATCTGTATGCAATGTTCCCCCATCCCTACCCATAAATACAACATACTGACCAAATTCCTTAGGTGGCTCACTGCATTCATCTTCGCCGCCCAAGACTACAACCGCAACAACTGCCTCCTCAACGCTCCCCCAGGGATCTCCTGCTCCAAGAAGAGGGCCAACGAAGCATTTATCTTCCTGACCTTGTAAGCCATCCAACTTCCATCTATCATGCCCTAGACACTAACAAAAACCCAGCATCTTCACCTTCTTCGGCATGTTCCTCGAGGTCCTCGCTCTCTGGGCCTACCGCCGCGAGAATGTCCCAGTCCGCGAAAAGACCGGCGGTGCTCACGGTGGTCCCGCCGATGCCCCAGTCGCTACGGCTTAAGCGTCAACTACCCTGTCATCCTCGATCAAGTACAGATAAGGCGGATGGGCAAGACAATGCACGAGAACGATTCACGATACCACTGAACGGGTTTCCCATGGCATGCACTACGCATACGTAATAATATAGCTATCACGAGTGACGAGATGCCAATCTACTTGCGGTGTATTGGCAAGGGGAGAAGTGTGGAGGTTATAGATGGGTGATGGAGGTGGTTTGGGGGGGGGGGGGGAGGTATACTAATATTTGTAATTTCGATATCCGGATAGTTCATGTGACATATTTATATTCTATCACTTTTACGGTCATTCTAGTATAAGCTTTATTGCACTTGATCTTTGAATCTTTCACACATCCGAAAAGTATTAATTACCCATCATTATCAATGGTGGGTCAGGGTTAACCTTGGGTCATGCGCCTGTCATAGATCAAGCTACCCGATTCATTATTCAGCGTGATGTCACCACGTTGGTTCTAGATAATGTGGTAGCTTTGGTTACTATGGAGCGTTAGCTTTTAGATTCTTCATACCGAGTCACATGTAACCCCGATAACTGTGTATTTACTCATATCTTTTCTACATCTACTGAATTGTCAGAAGTTTAGAACCACTGTGGCAAAAATATCACCGCCCGTCTCAGCACCCTGGCTGGTACTTTTGGCTACTCGGTGTGGGGCATAGTTTTTTGGCCTGATCTTCCTGGGTGCTTTTGGCACCTGGTTCAAGATTTGTTGGCTGCATACCAAGCACGCGTACGTATAGTCTATATCAAGTTTTATTCGATTTCAAAAGAAGGCTAATACTTAGTAGATCTCAATCAGATGGCCATATCAATCAGTCATATGGTCCTCGATGGTTTCAGGAGAATCGAACGAGAATTTCTTGGTATCAGTTCTGACACCAGACTGCTCGCGATATCCCGCCCTCCGAGCTCGCTAAGCCCTTTGCTCCCTTACGCAGAGTACACCACGGATGAACTAGCGTCTGTTGTGCCTACTGAATATGATGGCAACCTTTTAGTTCAACTCTGTCCTGCTCATATGGTCGGTAGCCCTTACGACTCAGGTGATGATTGTAGCCGGAGCTCTGGTATTCATCGGCATGCCTCAAATACTTGAAATAAAATATCAGGATTGCTATTGATCAAGGAGCATATCTTTTGGCTGTGGGAGTACAACGCAAATTACAATCGACGAATTCGAGAGAGTATACTGGCTTACCAGACCTCCACGAAGGATAACCTCTGATCTTGAGTGGTATCTATATTAACAGGAAGATCTTACACCACGGAGGCGGTGGTGGAGGTGCTGCCTCGAGAACCGCCTTTGTGGTTGCTTGCGAGCGCAAAAACCAAACATACAAGCGCTCTAAAACAAGACCGCATGCTATATCTATACTGAGTCAGAACACTCATTCCCCCTTGGGCGTTTCTTTGAGCTAATGGCAGTTGAGAATGCCGATGATTTCTATGAGGTGGCAGGTGAGGACTTTGAAATGGTCAATTGGCAGTTCTGGAAACTTCCTGGGAAACGTGTATTTTCCTTTTTCACGAGTTCGGGGCTAGAGAACATTGGGTTAATAGAATACAATGTTCATCGTCCAGACAGGCGCGTTATTTTAGCGGTAGCTAGGATCATGCCTCTGGCGCTACTCTGTACTGTCATTTATGCCTCCTACGCTATTAAAAAAAAAAAAAAAAAAAAAACCTATACAGTCATTGTGAAGATATCCTTATGCTCGCCTGTGGTATATCACAGTTCTAGTACTTCGGAAACTCCCGGTTTCAGTTTCTTCCCTATCCTTCTTTCTCCTTTGCCCTGTTTACTTTTCCCTTCTTGTTCATCGTCGTTTATTATCTTCCTCGTGGTTATCTTCATTTCTCCATATAATCGTCTCATTTTCGATTCGCTTTTGTACATGCCCCGACTTGCCGAATGGCCCAAAAGCTCACCACTTTCATATACACCCAATAGTGGGAGTAAGCACTAGTGATCATAATTCTAAAGTTTGCCTTGCGGTATATGGTGTGTTGCCTAAGAGCAAAGCGAAAGTACGTATACAGCTTTCTTAGTCAATTGAATATAAGCTTCCATAACTGATAACAAAAATCTAATGTAGGTATGGTAGATATGTTGTGGTGTATATGCCCTAAACTATTATTGGGCTAAACCCAAAACCCCGAATATACAAGCCCTCCTACAGAGGGTGGGAGGATTCATCAAGGGGTTCTGGTCTAAAACGAGTAGGCACTTTGACCTGATAGTGGTGGATTGAAAGACAAAACCCGAGAAATCCGGAGCCATTCAAGTGGACTACGATATTATGCCTTGTCGATTTTAATCTGCTTCTTGCAGCGACACCAACGACTTGGATTATTCCAAATATTAGTTCACAGATAGAGCAGCATAGCCATCAAAGTCCTAGCAAGACTGAAAGACATTGTAAAAAGAAAGTACTAGCACCCCCCAGACATAAGCATTGATCACATCTTTCACAAAGGAACGCTTCCTTCCTACCAGGTCTGCCTTGACCATCTGAGCGTATACAATCATAGTATCATCCATAGTGTTTTGAGAATTGATCTTGAACCCCCTTGCATCCTCACAACACTTACACATTGTTGTTGTGCAATGCGCAAAATGATTTGGCCGCTTAGAGCTTCGGGGCCCGTCAAATACTGATTTTGGCGACAGGAACATAGAGCGCGCTTGAAGGGTCCCTCTGGAAAAGCTCTGAGTGCAGACTCAATGTTTCGTTCTACTATTCAAATATCCCAATTGACGTCTTGGAGCTGTTTTTGAACGCTCTGCATCTCTGTCACCAAGATATCTGCCAGTGATGGATCCGCCTCAAGTTGCTTGAAAAGAGTGTTATGCTCTGCTTGTAGGTAGCCCTCGCGCTGTATTTCGAAGCGGTGGTCATACAACCTTGAAAAGTATGTTGGAGTATGGTGCAAGAGTTCAGGGCAACAGCGGCGCCATTCATATTGTTTTAAGTCGAATCTTCTGGGCCTTTTACCATTTGCCTTCCTGTTTGAGCTTGTTCTCAACACGCTCAAGGTGCGGGTCGAATCTTTTAGCAAGATAATCTTTCAGAAACATTGCTAAACTACAGGTATATAGAATGGTGGACATATATATATATATAGAGAGAGAGAGAGAGAGAGAGAGAGAGAGAGAGAGAGAGAGAGAGAGAGAGAGTGTGTGTGTGTGTGTGTGTGTGTGTGTTTGGGGGGAGAAGATGGTAGTGGACAGAAGTGTTGAACAGATTTAGAGACGGTGCATGCAAAGTGTTTTTTGCAAGACATGTCGGCCCCGTGTCAGTATTCCATCACCATCACCGTTTCATCATGATGACCGGCATGACTATTTTGTCTTGCTCTTGGCCGGCACAGATTCCATTGGCCTTTGTTTCTTTCTCTTTTTCTTTTTCTTTTTTTGGTGTTACTTGTAGCCTGTATCGGTAGTTTTGTGATGGATAGATATATTCTATTGAAGATCTCGTTTTCAATCAGCAATAATATTCTTAAGACTCCTTATACGAACACAGTGTCATGGCAGCGTGACACTCACTAAATCAAGGCTCCTATAACTTGGACGAGGAATTACAGCAGGCTAGTTTCACAATACATAGCTAGCTATATAGTAGGACCACCTGAGCTCGCTGAAGTAACCATACATGTCAACTACAATATCTTAGATAACGGGGGTTGTAATAATCGGGCATAGTCAGGAGATAGGCCAACTACATATACTGTTTCATTAGATGTGTAAAGAAAATGCAAATGACACGATGCCATATGTGCTGTTCGATGTGGGGACGACACATGAATTCAACAATATGGGTTTCGGACTGCTGTATTGCAACGTTGCATCAGATGAGAAAGCATATTTTTGATATGTATAATTACAGTGAATTAACCTAACCGTCTATGATGAATACGCTGTATGTGCTGTACATTTCTATCTGCCAAGTCTATCATATCCACTGTCAATGGTGAACGCTGTTGGTATAGTGCGAGGCGCTTGCTCTAGGTACAAAAATTGCGGGGCCAGTAGGCACAAAGAAAGTTTAAGATGGAGATAAAATCCTCAAAACTCCATTCGCTGTTTCAAATTCGTCATTCGTAAGAGTAACTTGGCAATGGAGATGACGGAACTTAAATACTCGCTCGCCGAGGCGCCAAGGTACGTTGTAGCTTCTTCTTCTCTTCTGTCTCCTCCGGCAACGGCAGGGATCCTTCACTGCGGAGTTTCTCTAGATACTGCTTGCCATATGCGTAGCCTACCTGGTAGATCTCATCGAATTTGCCGAAATCGAGGGTTCCGTATGGGTCGATGGGAGGACGCATATACAGGCAGCCAGGCGTGTTTTTGGCCCGTTCTAGATTGTCGATCGATGACACATATGCGAGTCGTGCTTGGATTTCGGACAGTGTGGGAGGGTTGGGGCAAGCAGAGAACGGGTTCCAACGGTTGAGCACGGTCCAGAACCCGGACAGCGAATCGCCGTACCCTTGAGGCGTGTTGTCATCGATTGAGCCCACATCGACGGCAAAAATCACATCGGCCCCAAGTCCCTTCATGTGGGCCACTGTAAGGTTGTCAATGTACCCGCCGTCAAGTAGCATGCTGCCCTCGTCGCAAATCGGGGGAATTAGACCGGCCAATGACATCGATGCACGCACGTAGCGCCAAGTATAACCCGACGAGTGGAATTCCGGCCGTGATTTGCTGATGTTGGTGGTGTTGCAGTAGTACTCCAGCCAGAAGTCCTCGATCTGGCTATCTCCAAACGTCTTGAAGATTCCCCGGTTGAACTCATGGCCAGTGGTGTAAGAGGTGGTAGGATACGTTAGATCCAGCATAAACCGCCACATGCTAGCCATGCGACCGGCAAACTTCTTCGCTCGACCATACATGGGGACCACATCCGCATCCCGTGCATACAAAGCTCCAATGAATGAGCCGATAGATGTACCACCAATGATGTCAATAGGGAGCCCGGCCTCTTCCAGTGCTTTGATGACGCCAACTTGGGCGATACCTCGAGCTCCTCCGCCACCAAGGACGAGTCCAACGGACCTGCCACAAAGTCGGCGAGCCAGGCGATGGAAGTCGCCCTTGAATGGAGTTTGTGCCGAGTAGAGAGGCGTCTGGCGAATTCGCCGCGATGTGTATTTTTGAATTTCTGCCTGGATAACTTGAACTCGTTGTTTCAGAACAGCTCCAAGTCGTTTCGCCTGAGGATGTGAGGGCTCAGGGGTTAAACGGAAGCCCATCTGAATATGATGGTGGCCTCCGTTGATCCACATCCGGTTCTTTAGCCATTGGCGCGTCAGTCCGGGAGGGCAGTACCGCTCGGAATGTAGCAACACAAGTTCTTTTCTAGCCGTTGTCTTCATCCCAAGTAGAAATCTTTCATATTCCCCGATACTGGGTGACGACTCGGCAAGGCCAACGAGCAGAATGCAATCGGCTTGCGTGATGCAGGTCTGCGTCCATGGAGAATTCACATTGGTGTCTGCGATATAGAGCACCATTCCATACTTTTCCTCGAGGTCTGCCAAATACTGGGACAACTTCAATTTCCCCATCTTGCTGAAAGCATGTCGTCCGAGATGGTTCAGGATCGCCGCTTGGTTGAGGGAGGTAACGCCGTTCGTCACGCCTATCTGGTGAAGTGCGTTCTGCAGGCGATGGCCAAATTCTACCACGGGAACTCCAGCCGTTACGGGGAGTATACCAACGGTGCGGAGATTTACCACAGAGGCGGCGGTCTTGACGCTGCCAGCGTTGGCATGCTCACCTCCCTTTTCGGACATGGGAAGCTCGACGAGATCTCGCATCCGCTGAGCAATGAGTTTAGAGACCTGGATAGTAATTCCCGGGTGTTCTTGGGCAAGACTGTTGAAAAGCGATCGTGGGAATTTAGCTAGCTCCGTATCCCGAATGGCGTGTAGAGTTGCTGGACGTGTCGACTCTGTCATGACCTCTAGCTCCCCAACGCTTTCTCCCTGACCATATTCGCCAAGGACTGTAATCTTGCCATCTGTACCTTCGAGAACAGACCGTAGACGCCCGTTTAGGACAAGATAGATTGCATCACTCTCATCCCCCTGATGATAGATGACTTGGCCTGCACTTACTTGCACCCATTCTAAAGCGAAGTCGATGTGAAGAAGCAAACGAGGAAGAAGACTTGTCAATCGTTTTGCCAGAGTTAAGAGCGCGATAGGGTAACGCTCGGCGATTCTCTCCAAGGATGACCTTGGAAGGAACCCGACATACACATCTGTTTTTGCCACCACGTCCGTATAGGACCTGTAGGAAGCAACAGAACCGACGTATCCCTGAATACCACCAGGTTTGATAAGATAGAGTGACTTTCGCGACTGCCTTCTCCGCTTAGTATCATTCGTGGCGCTCGTCACGCCCGAAACGCGAGAGGAGCTGGTCGTCGTCCGCTTCAAGGTCGGAAAAAATTCCTCATGTGGCTGGCCATATGCTGGTCTCGAACCGCCCACAAGATCTTCCCCTTTATCGGATACGGGGATACCCACGTCTAGGAATCCGTCAATCACATAGTACAGGCCTGGATGGCGTTCCCCTTGCTCCACCAGCACTGAGCCCTGGGGGAAATAGACGATCTCGATGTCATTTCGAAGTTCTTCGCGCAGGTTGATGATAGGCGATGTCCCGCCAGCGCTGGTCATGGACATTGACATCATTGATTCCGTCTCACCATCCGCAGAACCATCGTAAGGGTCGATGAAGCCAAATGCATTGTTAGTGAACACAGCCTTTTGCCGCCGAGAATCGTATGAAAGTAGTTTTGGGGATATGTCCCCAGAGGTGTGACTGCTCTGACGTAAGACATCGCGAGTGCTGCTGGTAAGTCCAATGCCATTCATGATGCAGTCCAGTATGGATTCTCTGAACAGGGCGTCCTCGTCAACCGAGTCCTTCTTTCGATGAAAAGGCGAGCTGTGCATAACAGGAGCCATAAAGGGGGGATTCTCTTTATCGGTTAATGGACTGAGCAGCTTCGGAGCTAAGTGTTCGTATCGAGGGCCAAACCGGGAGAGTTGAATGGTAGACAACAGATCCCCGGGGCTCGGCCCTGCCGACTCACGGTCACCGGAGATATACTCTGGGCTGGCCATGGACACTGGTCGCTTCGGTTGTGCTGCCATCTTTGCATGAAGGACTGCTTCTTTCCTCAGAAAGCTACTGGATCGGCGTCTTCTGCCAGCAGAAGGATTGTGGAGTGCGATGCCCTTCGTGATCTCTTCCGGGCCCAGACGGTCTCGCTCTTTGATAAATTTATCCTTGAGGCGATCCAATGCCGACCCACGCATCTCGTTGGGCAGATCCTGAGTCGTGAACTTGGTCATCTGTTTTTCAATTCCCAGTACATCATTGTTGAGGCCTAGATAAGAATGCGCTGTGGCGAACGTTACTCTTTGGAGCCGCGTCAGGATCACCTGGACAATATGGGCGGTCGCTCTCGGATAGACCCTCGTCAGACGGCGGAAGGCACTGGCCGGGATGATGGCAATGGTCGTGTCCACCATGGCTCGAGCCACAATATCCGGATGGACTGACTTGCGCCGCCTCTTGCCCGGCTGACTCCTTGGTTCCGGGTGAGGCTCATGGCTGGGCATAGCATGGCTTTCTCCTAGATGTAGGGGCGGGACGGACGGCAGAAGCTCCCCATTACTGTTGCTTATATGGGCGACAGGGTCACCGTGATCTCT